AAATTTAAAATTTCATTTTTCACCCCAAAATAGTGTTTTCCGTTACTTGCTAACGGAACATGTAACGGTAGGGACCAAAAGTCTTTAAAATTGAAACTAAGAGGTGAACTTTGTTCACTTTGGAACAAGGGGGACCAAAAGTGAAATTTGGCCAAACATGAGGGACCAAAAATGTAATTATCCCACTTTTGGATAAATATCATTACAAACACTTCTTGTACACCAAATTAGTTGCAAGACCATGGTTCTAATTGAGCATTAAAATAATATTTATCCCCCCCCCCCCTCCTAAGTACCATTTGTCTTCAACAATTTATAATCTCTCCCTAATTATCTTTCCAGCAAATGATGTAGCTGCGAAACCGAAAAATATAACTTCTGCAGATGACATTCTCTCACAAGAACAACAAGGTACTGATCTTACCCAACAAATGCATACTGTTATTTCTTACACCAAATTTAGAACCATTTATATATTTTTTATAATTGCAGGAATCCGTGGAGAAAATAATAAAAAGGTCTCTTGCCGAGAGTATAGTTGTTACAGGCTACAAATAAGAAATCCACGACAATCCACATTGTTGTTTGCAGGACGTCTACTCCAACAATACGTTGTCGACATGTACATAAAATTAGAGACAACAAGGTTAGATTACTGTAGACATAATCAGTCTAATTTGAGATCTGAGTTATACCAAGGAATCATGAAAAGTGTACAACAAGGAGAGACAAGAGGCAACGAGGTTGGAAAAAGAATTATTCTACCACCATCTTTTATCGGAGGTCCGAGAGATATGCGTCGTAGATATCTTGATGCATTGGCGTTAGTCCAAAGGTTTGGAAAACCTGATTTTTTTATTACAATGACTTGCAATCCAGAGTGGGCAGAAATACAAGAAAATTTGTACCCTGGTCAAAAGGCTCAGGATCGACCTGATTTAACCTCAAGAGTCTTTCGAGCAAAATTGCAAGATTTAAAAGATCAGTTGTTTAAAAAGGAGATACTTGGAAAAGTGGCTGCACATGTGCACGTGATTGAATTCCAAAAAAGAGGACTTCCACATGCTCATATGTTGATTATACTGAAGTCGGAGTATAAAATTACCACTCCAGATACCTATGATAGGTTCGTGAGTGCAGAACTTCCAGATCCAGAAAAACATCCTGCACTTCATGCCTTGGTTGTGAAACATATGATGCATGGACCATGTGGGTCAAAGAACAAGAGTAATTCTTGTATGGTTGATGAAAAATGCAAATATCATTATCCACGACCATATTGTGAAAGCACGATTCAAGGCAAAGATGGATATCCGATATATAAAAGGAGAAGAAATGGAATTACTGTCCAAGTTCGCAGAGCTCATCTAAATAACCAGTGGGTAGTACCATATAACCCATATCTTTTGTCCAGATATAATTGTCATATAAATGTTGAGATATGTTATGGAGTGACAGCAGTTAAGTATCTATACAAGTATAACTACAAAGGGCATGACAGAGTGGCTGTTAATATGTCACAGAATGATGAAGAAAATAATATTGATGAGATCAAAGAATATCAAGATGCTCGATGGGTCTCAGCTCAAGAAGCCATTTGGAGGATTTACGAATTCAATTTGAATGAAATATCTCCACCAGTCATTGACCTCCATCTTCATCTACCTAACCAACAATGTGTCACTTACTGGGCAAATCAAAATTTGAGCAACGTCCTCAAATGGGACCATGTGTCTAAGACAATGCTCACCGAGTATTTTTCAATGTGTTCGAGAAGTGAAAAAGCGCGAAAATACCTTTACAAGGAGTTCCCAGAATATTACGTATGGGACAAGCAAGGTAGATGTTGGTCTGAAAGAAAGAAAAGAGATGTGATAGGGCGTATACATGGTGCAAATCCTATGGAAGGAGAACGGTATTATCTTCGATTACTATTGAATCATGTAAGAGGTCCAACATCTTTTCTAGATCTTTTAACAGTTAATGGAATACGATGTGCTAACTTCAAAGAAGCATCACAAAAAAGAGGCTTACTAGAGTCTGATCAAAGTGTTATTGAATGTTTAAATGAAGCCATCACTTTTCAAATGCCTCATGAATTGCGCCGATTATTTGCAACCGTCTTGGTATATTGTGCTCCAACAGATGTGAGAGTTCTTTGGGACACATATTTTGAAGCAATGTCAGAGGACTTTAGAAAAGAAAATGATACATCAAAGGAGAGACAAATTACGAGAACTCTCCAAAGTGTGAATTATTTTTTGGAGAGCATGGGGAAAAAATTGGAATCATATGATCTTCCAAGTGCTCCAGTTGATACTAACCACGTGACTACAAATCTGTCAAGAGAGATAGAAGATGAGTTGTCAATAGAAATACCTTCTGAAGATTACGAGGCCGAGAAAAAACTGAATAAAGAACAACAAGATGCCTTCAAAGTAATCTTAGAATTCATACACAAAGGTAAAGCCGGTATGTTCTTCATTGATGGCCCAGGGGGAACTGGAAAAACATTCTTATATCGTGCGTTGTTAGCTCATTTAAGATCTAGAAAAAAAATAGCCATTGCAACAGCGACATCTGCAGTTGCCGCTGCAATAATGCCTGGCGGAAGAACAACTCATTCACGTTTCAAAATACCAATCGATGCAAATGAGTCAAGTGACTGCAATATATCAAAGCAAAGTGGAGTGGCTAATCTATTGCGTACAGCAAAATTAATTATATGGGATGAAGCTCCAATGGCAAAAAGATGGGCTATTGAGAATGTTGATAAGTTATTCAAGGACATAATGGGAAATGATGAACATTTCGGGGGTAAAGTGGTGGTCTTTGGTGGTGATTTTAGGCAAGTACTACCCGTGGTTCCAAGGGGTACAATTCACCAAACTATTTCTGCCAGTTTGGTGAAATCAAGGCTATGGCATAAAATGATAAAATTTTCTTTGTCTAAGAATATGAGAGCGCAAAAAGATCCTGAATTTGGTGATTTCTTACTTAGAGTTGGAAATGGAGAGGAAACCTCTGATATTGAGGGTAACATTATAATTCCTGAAGAGATGGTGGTGAAGTATGACAATGAAGAGGACTCCATGGCACGTCTTATTCATTCAATTTTCCCGAGCTTGAGTAGTAATGCTGAATCATCTACTTACATGACAACTCGAGCGATATTAGCATCTAAAAATGAGGAAGTTGATAAATTGAATGATAAGTTAATTTCTATGTTTCCGGGAGACGCAAGAACATTTCAAAGTTTCGATGAAGCTATCGATGATACAAATAATAACTATGAAGAAGATTTTCTCAATTCTTTGACTCCAAATGGCTTGCCTCCGCATAAGTTGGTCTTGAAGAGAAATTGTCCAATAATCCTCCTAAGGAATTTGGACCCATCAAATGGACTGTGCAATGGTACAAGAATGGTGTGTAGGAATTTCAAATCCAATGTCATTGATGCGGAAATAGTCTTTGGCCAACACGTCGGCAAACATGTTTTCATTCCTAGAATACCACTTTCGCCAGCTGAAAATGAGGGTTATCCTTTCAAATTCAAGCGTAAGCAATTTCCGATTAGACTTTGCTTCGCTATGACAATCAACAAAGCACAAGGCCAAACAATTCCTAATATAGGAGTCTATTTGCCTCAACCAGTGTTCTCTCACGGCCAACTATATGTAGCTCTATCAAGAGGAACTTCATCATCGACAACAAAAGTTCTAATCAAGCCGGATACCAACAATGTTCGAGAAAAAAGGGCGACAAAAAATGTTGTTTACAAAGAAGTTCTAAATGCAGGTAAAATAATTTTTCCATACATATATAATGTGTGTGTATATATATAATGTATGAATATTATAAGATAGTAACTAATGGTATTATGTTTATTAGGAGGCTCATCAAGGAGGCTACAAAATGAAGAAAATGAGGTTATTTAAAATCTTCCATCTTTTTTCTTGCAATAGCCTCTACAATGTTTAATTCCCCATGAAGATACTTTATCTTGTTTAAAGTGTATATTTAATAACTACTAATCCAATTTATCATTCCTTATTCTTTTTTTTTTTTTTCTGTTTGTCTGTAGATCTCGAATACCAATTCGATGAAACCTTCTATGTGACTCAAGGGTGGATGAATAGTGCATCTTTCAAAAGGTTAATATATAAAAGTAATCTTTTCATTTTTTTTTTACATTTACATCACTTCTAATTCTAATTGCATTATTTATTTTGATTCTTCGATAGCTGCCTGAGATCATAATATGGAATTGGTTCACCGACAGAGAGAACGGGATCGTGATTTTTTATAATCGATTAGTACAATATTAGAATGAACTAAATGATCTTATTCGAAAAAACTTTATTTATGACACACTTTTCAAATTTAAAATAAAAATTATATTTTAGTATGTTATTTTCAATTTGAATTAGTACAAAGTTCGTATTTTAGTTTATCAGTATTAATGCCTCGATGTGTTCATTTATTGGAATATAAAATTTAAATACAATTTTTGGCTTCAATCTGCTGGTTATTCGACATGGAGTGTTGAAATTAAAGATTATGTTCACCCGATCATTTATTTTCAACGACATTATTTTGCATGACATGATCCCCACTCATTGATCTATATAGTGGTTTCCTGGGGGAATTTCATACTACATACTTATTTATATTATACATTTCAAAGACTGACACATACATTGGATTGGGATAAATTTATTTTGGATTCGAGTTTAGCCATTTGGACTTCAAACGACCGTTCTCCGAATAGGGAAAACTTCAACATGTTTACGTGAAATCTGGTAATAGGTGATTTCATTTTTCAATCCGGTTTTTGTATATATCACTTGAATTGTAGTTGTCGGATTATGTGTACTTTTATTTTCTTAAAATTGAGGATGGTTCTTTAGTTTCTTCTATGTTACACTTGATTAATCTTAAATATCCATAGCTATTAACAAACAACAATATTATACAATTTATCCCAAATTTGTAATTACAAGGAGTGATATTTTCTTTTTAACTTGTGGAGGGATACTCAACAACTTTACATAAAATCCCCTTCTATATCTTGTTTGTGTAAAAAATTTGCAGCTATCTCACATCGATCAACAAATCTATACAAACACAATACAATACATAACCAGAAATCTCCCCAAATTCTTGCACCATTCTGCCACAACATTGTGCTTTTTCATTGTTCGTCAATTTCAATGGTGTTATTGGTGAAGTTTCAATAAAGGGTGACATTGAATAAATAAAATTTTATTGTTTATTATTCTTGATTGATTTAATGTTAACAGTCATGTATTTTGTAATATTCTTCATTTATTTAGTCTTAACAGTCATGTTTTAATTTTTGAATAAAAAATAATTTAATTCCGTAATATTCATTTGAAGAAAATAGGTTAAATACGTTTTGCACCCTGGATTTGTAGGCTATGTAACCCTTAACCCTCTTTTTTTACTTTTTTTTTTGGCCAAGCTCTTTTTAATCCATTAAATACTAATGAAAGTATAAAGTAAAAACATTGTGGGTGTAATACAAGGAAAATAGTACCCGTAAGAGATCAAGAATAAAAACGGATAAAAAAACCCTATTACAATCTATTACACAAAAGCCCCAAAAGTGGGTAAGAAAAGAAATAACTAAAAGAATATGCCTATGCTGATTATTGTAACTCAAATATAAAAAAGGCCCCATATGGGGCTGGAAATGCCAATATCTAAAATATCTCACCACCAACTTAAATTATTCAACTTTTGCCCTCTTCTCCTACGTTGAGATTGATCCATATTCATCTTCAGTTTATGCGACTGCATTTCAAACATTATGGTCGAAAGTCCTATATCCCAAGAACATCACATCGATATGCAATCCATACTGACCTAGGAAGGTCGTTTGCCAAAAAGAATTATTGAAGGTGTTAGTGATTATGTGCAGGGGCGGACCCAAGGTATACCTTGGGGGGGCCTCCACCCCTGCAGAATTTTGTTTTTACCTGTTTTTTATTAAATTTTTAATATTTTATGTTATTTATCTATTAATTTATACCATTTAGCCCCCCCCCCCC